CTCTTAGCATGTGATATCTTGTGTAGTATACAGTTGTTTAACATCTAATGAATGAAGAGAGGGAGAGTGTAGTGAATATACAGCAGAACATACATGTATAATAAAATCTATGACACATTATGGTTTGTTTATAATTTGACTATTTCAGGGTAAAGCAGTTATATTTCTGTCACTGCTTGAGAAAATTTGTTACTTATGGTCATAAAAAGTTGGAGCTACAAAATTTGATCCTTTCAGAACTTAAAAAGCTGGCAAAAGGCCCTTTAATACAGGGTGTCACCATCATGGGCTAAATATCGCCAAAATTGAATAGAAGATAATTCTCCATTTTAATTTTTTTTCTGATAGGTATACAAGTACTTATGTTGTCTAGAAAGTTTGAGCTGATTTCAATCAAAATTTGACTTTTATAATTGGGGCGAGCCTGAGCTCGCCCCCGGCCACTCTAGCTATACTCTCAGTCACGCCCCGTCTGTCTGTCCTCGTACGTCACCCCTATTTATGCGTTGATCTAATACGGTAGATAGATACTATGCATTACCAATGCACTATAAAGTCATTTTTCAATTTTTCATTGAAAGTGGGAGCGGTCACAGTAAAATAAAAATGGCAACCAACATACAGGAAGAATTCATGAGCTTTCTAGCAGCAATATAAGGCAGATACACCGTCCAAAGATTTCTCCAGCAGCTATAGAAGGTTTTAAATTCAATTAATAACCTATGAAGCTTGTCTTATTGATGCAATTGCTATTAAACTGTGAAAGTCAATCAAGCTTTTTCTCAGTCATCTTAATATTGGATAATATGATATCTAAAGCTAAGTAAAGCATCTTTACGGACATTTATAGGCAAGAAATGTGTATGTGAAACTAGAAGACTAAAAGTTAAATAAAATAAATGATATAAAGTGATTTTATCAGCAGCATTAAACTTCCATCATGTAAATCATGCTTGCTATGCCTAAATCATCATGCATGCTTTGAAATCATCGGGAGTAGATTATAGATGGATAGATCCAGTGCCATATAATTGCTTTGCTAGCTTAGGGTCGCCCCTTAATGTTCTGCATTCTTCTAGTTATTATTAATTTTCATTAATTATAGTTACCTTGGTAACGTTATACCATTCTCCCACCTGTAGCGCAGTTCCTGTATCACTTCATACCAAATATGAGCCATTGCTTTAAGACCTAGAGACACACAATACAATATGACCTTTGATAGTGTGTGTATATATGTAGTGGAATGTACATGTACATGAATATTGAATGTACATTGTGTATGTCACAGTAAGTTTATACATACCATAATCATTATGAATGTTACAGAAAGCTTTGGCTAGACGCATTGTGAGACTATTAGGAGGAGCTGACTTTAATTCACGAGTGAGAGAATCCTTAAGATAAATAATGATAACATGATTATTGTGTAATGAAAAGATAAGACAAACTTCAGTTAATTGTTCATGGCCAGAGAGACTGCTACCAGGAACAGAATCAGGAAACAAACACTAAA